TGTTGTTGTTGTTGCTGTTGTTGTTTGTTGTCCTTTGTTGTTATTTGTTGCTGTTGTTGTTGTTGTTCGTTTGTTTGTTTGTTTGTTTGTTTGTTTGTTTGTTTGTTTGTTTGTTTGTTTGCTTGCTTGTTTGCTTGTTTGTTTGTTTGTTTGTTTGTTTGTTTGCGTGTGTGTGTGTGTGTCGCTAGGTGTGGGGGTGTGTATATGTGGGTGGGTGGGTGGGTCTGTGTGTCGAAACACTTGGCGACATCGTTTTCAAGTCGTTAGAATATTTGTTGTGAGCGACCGAAGGCTGTCAAAGGTGCAGCCTGCGAAGCCGCGAAGAGGATGAAACGAGTGGACAGCTGTACTGCAGCTTGAGTTGTACTCGAGCCAAACCCCCAGGTCCGAAGTCTGATGTTTGTTGGCTCCAAAGGAGAAGCGCATGTGGCAGGAGCCTGTGCACCAAAGCATGAGAATCACAGCATGCTTAGTACCGCTGCTACTACCGCTGCAAGCAATGTTGCGTGTCTTCGGGCGACCCACCAGCTCCAACACACAGAAGGCACATCTTCCTGGACGCTCTCCCGAAATGCGATTTAGTGATTTTAGAATGCCACGAGAGTCACAGGCCTGGGAATTCCGTGCTCCGTTGTCCACCCCATCGCAGGTGCTGTGGACCTTGCATGAGCTGCGCAGCAGGCCAGGGCCCCGAAGGGGCACGGCCCGGCGGCACGGCCCTTGACAAGACCCTTTGAAGACGCCCGAGGCCTAGTTTCGATCTCGTCCTGGCCAGCGCACGAATGGGTGCTGGGTCAAACTTACTTTGCGAGACTTCTGGCGGCAAGCCGTATGGTGTTGTGGACACGGAGTCTAGGCTGCAGAAGTTGCTTCTCGTCTCGTGTTCTTGGGCAGTCTTGTTCCAGTTCTGTACCAGTCTTACATCATGCATATCGTGCTCAACCTGAGCATGTCCACACTTGCCGCACGCATGTGTGAGATTGTGTGAGTTCTTGAGGAAGAATATGCCCGAATGAATCCCATGCGCCGCAGCCTCGGCTCTGGGCGCATGCAATTCAGGCCAAAGTGGCAATAAGAACTACAGAACGGAAACTTACAGCAACTAGCAACTAGCATAATCTGGCAATACCATATTCGTGTGAGTTTGGTATGTTTTTGCATTAGCTATAGTGTTACTGGTCATGTTGAGCATTACCGCTGTGTTGTGTGCTGTTACTTTTGTTTTCGTGATCGTTCGCAACACAGTATTCGGGGCACTCATCAAGCCTCGTTCAAGTCTCAGGTACTGTTCCATGCTTAGTCGATGGGGACCTTGCGGTTTGGGAATCGCATTCGATCGTGCGCTACTTGGCACAGAGTCTCAGCCGAGCCAAGAAAGAGCTCTTCAGTCCATGCTTCTTCTACCACAACCCAACAACAATGAGTGCTCGTAGAAGCTGTGGCGCCAGAAGGGTTGATGTTGTGCCCGGAAGTTACCTGTGCCTGAAAAATGAGTGCTGCAGCACCGGGGCAACGTAGTACGGCTTGAAGGAATAACGTAGCCGCAGCCCATGAAGTGAGGAAATATTCTCCAGATCTGCACCTGAGCTCGGTTGAGGGCCTGGCCAAGTGTTCTCCGTGGATGGACTGGCTTCTCTTCACGAACTTCCACGAGTGCCGTCACCTTAAACATCCGCCTACGGTCAAGCTGACACAGTGCTGTTTCAGCAGACGTGTCGGTGGACCGGTGGTTTCAGTGTCAGAAGCCGACACAAGGCAACCATCACCTTATTGATCAGACGGCGCGCACGCTGCCCGAACAAAGGGATGTGGCCAAGATGAGAGAAAGCTACAAAGGCGGGTTCGCGAATGCGCTGGTACCACTATGTCAGTCGAGTCAAGTAGGAAGCAGCCAGGGATCGGTGACAGTTGCGACATTTGCGGCACGGTGCCTCGCCAGGTTATGTCGAACGTTTCCAAAAGGTGGAAAAGCGGATAGATGAAACCAAAGCGTTTCTTGCCGGGAACGAATTCACCATTGCAGCTCCCTGACTGGCATTTGCCACACTTGTGATTAGATTTAGTCGGTCCCTACATGCCTTGCTTTGCCGAAGTATGCAGGCTGTAGCGACTCTAGCGACTCCCTAATTACTCGTGCAGCGTCGCCACATCAGAACAGGAGGAATCAGCAGCTTCTCTTTGACAGCACAGGACATTGTGGTCGGAGCTGAAGTCTGCCGCTTCAGCTGCGGCGACATGCTTATCCTCAGAACACATTCATGTTTCTGATTGGCCGAATCTCAAACAGCAAGCTCTGACAAGTTGTCGCTTTCAGGCATGCTGCGCTGGGCGCAAGACGGAATCCCGCACGGGTTGGAACGCGCCGAATTGCCGTACCTGGAGTCATATTTCAGGACTGGGTATCTTGGAGCGCCAGATAGTGCCATATGCAAGAACCGTGTCACTGATGTGAGTGACAGGAAGCTTCAAGAGAGGTCACTCGGCTGTCGGTTTGCGGCCCGACCTGTCGCGCATTACGCGCCCGGGTTTCCCTCCTGCGACATGTTTGCTAAAGGATCTCCGTTACACGCGATTGCGCAAGCTGTTTGAGGCCAGCATTCCGTGAGATGTGTCTCCGGCACGAGCGTGAACATCAGCAGATGGAGCTTCTCGCTGCACATTTTCCCACAGCTTTGCGGCTACTGGCTTTCGGGTTCACGGTTTTGCGATCTGGTCCGGCGGTCCAGGGACAAGCAACCCGATCTTCCTTGCAGCAATTCCCGCGAACCTTGACAGAAACCAAGAAAAGCGTTTTGCTTGAGGCCTCTTCATCCGGACCGTCATCAACCTCTGCTTCCAGAATTTTGATGCAGTGTCACACTCCTGATTTGCTCGCAAGCCGAGGGTTGCGTAGCCATGAAGGAGCACAAAGCATCTTAGCCGGATTTGCGGCGCGAAGCGCTGCTGGTGCACAGGCCACAAGACGCTTCAGCGGGCAGTCCACCGCTTCAGTCTGGCGATCAGCCGGCAGATCAGAATGCCTGGGTCGATGAGGGCACCTTCTTTTGAGCATCACGTCGTGCTCCGATGCCGTCTCAGTTTCTCCAGCTCTTCAGGGCATGATCATGGACATCGTGATTGAAAGAGGCGAAGCAAGCCAATGCAGATAGGACATGATGCATTTGGCTTTGCGAGGCTGTCTGTTTCGCCTGCACACACACGCGCACAAAGACACATAGACACACGCACACGTAGACGCACACCCAGCATGCAGCACGCAACCAGATCTCCTAGTTACATGGGCGCTGTCCGAAAGTGTTCCTGCATGGATCAGCCGGACGAGCCCATCACCTTCTGCTGACATCAGGCTTGGCTGGTTGCACCTCATCCCCAATCCCCATGGTCCCTTACTGTATCTCGAGCGCAGGGCTTTCTCACCCACCATGCGAAGTGAAGGAATCTATCTGCTCTACATGTACTTCAAGAGAATATTTCTCGCCTCCGCGACATGCGTTTGGCTTGCAACCGCAGTTGGCCTAGCTACCTGGCCGCACGTGCGCTTGCCAGATCGCAGTGCAAAGTCTAGCCAAGTGTCATCTCTCTGTCGAGCCGCTTCAGGTGTTGTTCACAACGGTCGGAATAGCTCCAACCGCAGCTTGGGCTCATTCGCGGTGATTCTTGCTGCAGTTTTTCTCGGCATCGCTCCTGCCTGCGGCTTCTGGAACATCATTGAACTCGCCGTGCAAACTGAGGTCTACAATGCCGTGGCTGATGAGAGCCTCAACAGGGCTCTCCGCTGAGAAACGGACGGAGAGAGTTCTCTCCGTGAGCCCACGCCCGGACAGGCCGGCAATGGTGCAGCCGCCCTGACTGCCTTCAGCCTGGCATGTGCCTTCGTGCTAGACTTCTACCTCATGTGGCTTGCCAGCATCCAATGCGCCATGACGGTGCCCGGGATAGGCTTTTGTAGCAGATGCGCAGTGCGTCTTCTGGTCCGGGGGATGCCCCCAGCTCCCGATCTGGGGATATCGCTAATCAGCTCAAGCCCTGTCATGTCTTGCTGGCATTGAAGGCAACTGTGGGGCGGGGGGCGGAGGGCGGGGCTCCACAGTGAAGCTGCGAATTCAGATGTGGAATTCTGAGCAACAGAACTTGGCGCACCTGCAATTTGTCCCAATGTACCCGTAGGTGGTTACTCGGACGAGCTCTTGCTCTTGGCAAGTAGGCGGATCCTCGACGCAAAGTGTGGTTTCCCCGAGGCCGCCTCTGGTTCAAGTGTTCTTAGCGGTGGTCTTCGCAGGCCTCGCGGCCTGACCTGAGCACTGAGCAAATAACCACTCTGTGCTCGTTACCGTTGCATACTTCTGGCAGCCAGTCTTTTGTGTGCCATCCAGCTAGCAAGTTCAGGGGCTCTTTTTTCGGCTCGTGGTCCCCGGGAAGTACTGCAGACCTGAAGGCTGTGACAGTTTCGTGTAATCCGCGAGCCTTCAGGCATCCCTAGGTCACTCATGGAACTGGCGGCACGGGACGGCATGGTTCGGCTTTGAGTTGCAGTCCATGAGTATCGTTGTCGATTCTGTGCGGCAGCCGTGGAAGAAGGAAGTAGCAACAGTAGCTATGGTCAATGATTCAATGCGATTTGGCTGCCTTTGGCCTCTCCAGGTTTGGCCTTTGCCACAGCCGTGCTCAAGGCGATTGCCTACCCGTACGTGGGCACCTCGAGTATCTGGGGGCTATGGGGCAGAGGCGAAGGGCTTTGGCCTTCAATTCGGGCTCCCGATCGAAGCTCCTAGGAAAGCCTTCCACATGTCTAGACAGAGAGCCGACAAATGACGGATGTACCAGGAATTACGTCAGACCTATCACTGAAATATTGAGCACTTCGGTGACAGAAACCGTCTTTTTCAAAGGCTAGATGGACTTTAGTTCCGGATGACGGCACACAAAGGCTTTCAGCCTCTCCAGAAAACACGCGAGGTGATCTCATCAAAGTTGACGTGGTGCTTTTGTTTGAGCCGCATGTTTGTACATACCATGTGGCCATTGGCGATCAATCTACCTACCCGGAGCTCACTGCGCTCGCGAAAAATCGAAGCTTGATAGGCTCTTGGATTCCCAAGGTGCCTGAGCAAGCAGACTGCAAGCGAAACTGATAGCCATGCGACTCACACATCCTACCTCTCCCGTGTACATGTCTTATCTCGCTCTGGTGGACCCTCCTTAATTGGAACGATACAGAGAGGGTTAACATGCCCCCTGCGCAAAGATGGAAACGGACAAATCGAGAAGTGCACCAAGCTTTTAGAAGGGTTCGTGGTACTAAGGGATACTAAGGGTTCATGGTACGCCGTGATGAGCGCTTTTTCTTTCGTTACATTTGTGCTCACGGCTGCTGTGGTGGCTGCGAGAACGTCTTTAGCGTCCCCGACTATGGAAAGCTTCCGACACTGCCACATCATGGAGGAAAACAACAGTGGCTTCAAGACACTTGGTGTTTCGAGGGCACGTCGGCTTCACAGCGACCCAAAAGGTTGAGGACAAGGTCCAACGTTCGGATTTGTGGCATCGCTTGGAAGGACTGGAACAGGAAGTCTTCGTCCCCAACCTTGTGCGAGCACTACGTCATGCCGCGGGTCGCCCCCTGCACCTGCAGAGTTTGGGCAGCATTCGTTACAGCGCCATCGATGTTTGCACTTTCACTTCGCCCCAGGACCCCGATGTGCATGAACGATCGGAAGTTCACAAGAGATTTCGGTGTTTCGTCTTGCACTGCCTGCCAGACAGCATGGATCGGCAGCCCATACGATGCAGCTTGCCGCCTCCACCATTTCACCTTGTGTCCTTCTTGTTGACATACATTAGGGAATTGCTGTGGCTGGAGGAGGCTGGAGAGGGGAATCCTGATCCACGGTGGCAACATCATGTTGCGAAGAGTGGGCAGGTATGCATGGACAGATCTGGGAAGCTCGTACTCTAACACTTGGCTGTCTGGCTTCACGATCAAACGGGCACGGCGAGGTTGCAAGGTCCTGGAAGTCTTCTGCACAGCAGCAGAGCAATCAGTCATCACGACACTAAAAGCTTTGCCAACATGTTCTTGGATCCTTGCTGTAAGCAATCTCGCACGAGAGTTGGGATTTCCAACAGCAAGTGGTTAAGGACGTCGAAGTCAGCATCTTCATGGTCCTCAGGAATCACCTGTCCAACCTGCGGGATCGTATTGATGCGATGAGTCAAGGCTCTGCAGGCACGACCTGCACGTCATCCGTCGTCTGGCGGGAGCCGATCCAAAGACGGGCAGCTCACAGCCAAACGGAGGCCCATGGAGGAGTTGAGCCGACGGGCAATGCGTTCCAAGTGACGTTTTGTTGCACTGCGGCTTTGCTTGACCTCCAGGATTAGCAGTCAGCAGTTCAACGCACCTTCCTTGTGCAAACTGCGGCGTTCAAGTCTTCAAGTCCAGCGGGGTATGCAGCGTATGCAGCGGGTACACGACCAGCAACAGATGCCAGCGCTGATCAAAACCAGTTTGTGTTCTTAGTTGTGCTTAAGCGCACTGACGCAACCAATCCATTTGAAGAAGTCCGGGGGAAGACTAAACAGCTACTCTCGATGTGCGGTCCTCGCCTCTGCTAGTGTTATGTTTTCGGACTGATGGTCGACATTTAAACTGTTTCTCTGTTCGGAGTTGCAGTACACTTGTAGCCCGTCGAGCATGCTGGGACGGCAAAGTCGCCCCGGAACTGCTCGCCAGAATCTATGAGAGTTTATGAATCTCGGTACTCAAGTGCATCTTGAAGTTTGCAGTCGATTCAGCTTGTTCGAGAGGCTGCTTGTTCGCGTCGCGTCACTGTCACATCGTATTGAGACCTCGTCTGGATGGAGTCCGAGTTGCGAGAGCGCAAATCGCCCGCAAGCTTCGCCTGGAGCGGTCTGCGAGTAGGAGTCGAATCGACCACCCTAGCGTGAAATAAGACTTCACAGACTTGCTGATGGCCACCCCCCCTGCTTTCATGCAGTTCGGAGCCTGTTCCTGCAAAACGGCGAGCGGCTGTCGCTGGCGGATGCTGGCGGAATCCTGTAGTGCTGAGGCGCCTGGTCTTCTTTGCATCGGGCTGCCACTAGCCTACCTGGGTTGGCTGCGGGTCGAGTGCTGAGACTGCGCATCCGGTGCTCCAGTGCTGGCCTCTTGGAGCGGCCGACCTCTCAGGTGCGCATCTTTCCGCCATCGACTGTTTCTGGCACAGAGCGGCGGGTTTGCAAGCGGTCAACAGCCTTGTGTCTCATACTCGTAGGCCATATAGGCTTCGGCTGTGACACTGCATGGTGTGGCTCCCTGAGGTTTCTTCGGCCACTGTCAGCAACGTTTGGTTGCACTTGTGTGGGAGTTGTCGTAGCCTCTTCCTCAGTCAAGGGACCCGTCTATTGCTCAGAATAGGTCAATTGGCCTGACAACATGCGATGATATTTCAGAAATTCTTAACTTAGATGTGTGCATCAGTTCATTTCAGCATCGGCACTTGGCAATTAATTTTAACGCTACGCCATCCGCCTCGGCTTGCCAGAGACCAGCGCTGTGACAGAACCCGGTAATGACGGCCTTAAGGAGGAAGGTGGAGGGGCGGGGGGCGGAGAGGAGGGACGTGAAAGGGGAGTTGGAGGGGAAGGGGGAGGGGAGTAGGTAGAGGGTACTGAGTTAACCCCCCAAGACGCCTGAGGCGCCTCGGCGGATATGTGAGACTTGAAAGCCGAGTGTTTCTGGTCATGCGATCGAGAAGCGTGCAAGTATTAAGAACACTAGACCACTCTCGTCATCCGACGGGCCATCCGACTGGAGAACTGCCGGACCAAGGTCTGGTGCGTTTGGA